TTGAGCCAAGATGTGAACGGCGAGGAGACTGCGCATCCAACTTGGGGAGCTTTGCGGTTCCGTGCGACGAAACTCGGGGGGCATGAGATGTGAATATTGCGATAAGAAATCAGGCGAGACGATCTTGGCGGAGAGCAGATGACCTATAACAAAATCCTGTATACCTTTACTGCGGATAAGATGTAATACGAGAACAATGCCAACGCAGAGAGCATTGACCCCTCCATTCTTCCCCGAACCTCCTCCACCTAGCGTAATGGCAACTTGAACATGAGCTAAATCGAGCGCAAAGTTCTGCGCCCATGTCCACATGAAAAGGCCCCAGAAGAGTAAGCAGAATCCATCCATGGCGATCATTGTGCCAAGAGAAGGAGTTCCGGCGGGGCCCTGAAAGATGTCGAAGTTGGAGGTCAAGGAGCCAGACGCTGCACCGCTAGGAGGCATAAAGGTCAGGGAAGCAAAGAGGAACTGAACCAGAGTGAGAACCATAGGCGGCAGCTGCAAAAGGAAGATCAGAATGGCGATCGTGTCGTACATCGGGCAGGACTTGAGGATCGTCGACGCGAGCTGGAGTGGATTGATAGAGCCCGACTTCTTGGAACCGGTCGCCGGCTTCTCCGTTCGCCGCGACGCCTGTCCGGCAAGTCCGCCATTCTGGGGCACGGCGCCATTCGTCTGGCCATAAGACATGTCCGCGTTACCCTTAGCATACCCGTTCAGCAAGCCGCGCCCGTTGCCATCCGCCTTCGAGGTGTCCGCCGAGCCGTTGACCTTGCTTGCCGTGGTTGCCGATGAGGTTAAAGCCGAATCGCTGGAAGAGCGAGATGCGGGCCAGTCGACTTGAGTGGAGGGACCAGAGTTCGGGGCAGAGGCGCCGTTGGTGTTCCCATTCAGATTTCCATTGGACTTTTGCTTGTTCACTTTCTTTCCGGGACCGACGAGACCATTCTCATGCCGATTGCTATGACTCTTCCTAGCCGTGGCCGATGAACGTGGCATGGACGAGGGAGCCTAACACCCAGGTCCGAGTCAGCTTGGCAGGAAGGAGCCAAGGACTTGGACCAGGCGAGAATTGAGGACGGAGACAGCGTCGGGGAAATAGAAGAGTTGGGGGGGGTGGGAGAGGGGAGAAGAAGGGGTGATGAGAGTGGGAAAGGAAAGGGAGGGGAGGTAGCACCCAGGAAGCGAACGGGAAAAGGAATGACAAGAGGGGATAGAGAATCGGTAGAGGTAAGGACTAGGTTAAGAAAAGGAAAGTCAGAGTGAATCGGATTGGATATGGAAGAGGGTGAGTAAGAGAGGGTGGCGGGGGAGGAGGTGGGAGGAAAGAGAAGGGAAAAATGAATGAGGTTTGGTAGACTTTTGGGTCTGGATAGACGAGGCGGGAAAAAGACGAAACGACGAAAGGTTGGAAACGGATCGTCGAGAGGGAATCCCGCTAAGGCAGCAAGGCGGCCAACCTCCAGCCAATCCGGCTGTTGGTGCCTTAGGCACTACATATATTACCCTTCCCTGTCACGGTACCATACATACCCTGTCAGATACAGGAGGTTCCTTACTGACATTTATCATACATTACATGACGTACCCTCACTGCGCTGTCTTCCGGTTGGCTGGTTGGCTATCCAGATTCCCTTTCCCTCGACCGATTTTTGGGGCGATCTGGAGGTTGAGACCAGCCACGGAGATCGTGGATGCTGAAGAGACCAATGGGACCTCTTGTTCTGATGAAGGTTGAAGTTGCTTGGATCTTCAAACAACCGTGTCCACAAAACAGGACTATTACGGGCATGAATTGACACCTGGCTCTTCAGCCACATCATTCAAGAGTAAGCTTGCTTCCTGGCACCGGCACCGGCTCGAGGCATTGATATGGGGGCTAAATCTCAGCCACTAGTTGCTTCGAACAGCTAGTATTTCTTTCTTTGACGGCTCTGCGCAGGCTGCTGGGATCTAAGCCTCCTGTCAACGCAAGGCAGCTTACGCCCGGATTCATGTAGTCAGTGCTGTTCTTTCCCTTGACATGCTCATAAGCAACAAAAGCAAATCTTCACTTGACTTTCCCAACAGATCAATAGAGAAAACTATGTCGACCAATCTGCGCATGTAGGCTAGCTGTAATACCCCCGTCACCTAGCAACAACCAGACCTTAAGCTTCCCGGTCTAAAGCACTTATGGACTGATGGTTGCTGAACGCCGGCCTCGTAAGCCGGGGGTGGACTACGTGTTCATTCTGACCTTACCCTCCTATTGCAGCCATCATTCATAGGCTCGCAGAAATCAGCGCCAGTTAATGTCCGTTTACCCCTCCTTCTCACGCAGTCACCCTACATATCACGTCTTACCCGCTAACCACTGACAAGACCCGGGGTCGTGCTTTATCGGGTAATCCAGGACTTTAGGGCCCAAACTAGACAGGACGATCTGGCGATCCCATCCTTCACGGGATAGCTTTTGGTTGTTCGCGTGGGCAATTCCCTGGACAGAACTGTGAAAACTCACCATGGTCAACACCATCACCAACTCATTGGCAGCTACCAGGCCGTGGGTAGTCATATGTGCCGTCCATATTGCATAAACCCGGTTGGTTATCTCTCTATCAGCTGAATTGCGTAGAGTTCAAAACGGGCAGACGAAGAAGCCCATATGTCGTCTAGCTCGTGACTTGCAAGTCAAGATAAGCATATCCTGCCCAGCTCTCTAGTCATATGGGGGGCCCGTTGGACTTGTCAGTTGACACTTGCGTGGGAGGTTGTACAGCCGATAAATGATGCTCGTAATGCTTATACGTGCCAAGTCCGAAACAGCACCCTGTAAGGAGATCATTATCATGCCATTGGTTCCCTGCTTGATGGAGATTAAAAGGACCAAAATTGCAATTCACGAGACCCGAAGAAAAAAGCAAGCTGACACCGACAATCTGGGGGCTAGCCCGTCTCCATCGGAATATTGTCGAAGACTGACGACGACGACATCTTGTGGTAAGGCAGTAGGTGTGAGATTAGATAAGCTTCAATACCCAGCTGTTGCCCAGCTATATATAGGAAATACTGTATCATACCAAACAGCGGTATTTCGCCGAAACATCTCCACACTAGCAAAATCATCACTTTTCTCGCCTGATCTGCCCCGTAGGAGCGATTGATACTTTAATTGTCGCTGCTTAGGCAATCTGCCTAGAATCACAGGCTAATTGGAATGTTCGTCATACGCCGGATATCGGGCTGGCTGCAGCTCGATAGGCAAGTATCCTGACTTGATTGCCGTTTTCACGGACAGAGATCGACTAGCCTTGGAATCGGATGGATGATCGACCGTTTCTACCCTAAAGTGGACAGACGCGTTGACTAAATTGAAGGGTTTGCCGGTCGAGCCCCGCAAGCCTTGTCAGATGATTACCAGGGATATCCCGTCCATTTGTCGTGTCGTTGTGGCTGTAACACAGGGTATTGGACCCTTGATGCTAGTAGTATTTACAGTGCGAGACAAGATGTACTTACCCTGCTGTCTTTCGTAGGTAAGCGATTTTGCCTGTGGTGAGCCTCATAACCCAAGACCGGCGTCAAAGCTTGGAAAACCAAGCAATTAACTGGGACACTGGAACTGATACCGATCCGGCAAAGCTTCCGATCAGAGGCACTAGGCGGGAGGGTCTAGAAGAGACTCTGTGGCGCAAATGGAGCGGGTCAAGCCGTGACGAACCAACAAATTGCAATCGGATTCCACGGCAACCATGATCCTGTGTTACTGCACAAACTATGTCTGAAACTTCTCTAGATGACTGGCCAGCGTAGCTATCAACCCATCTGTATACCTGTAGCCTGAGAAGTTGAAGCGGCCACACATTATGCCTGAGTATCAGTTCCATAGTAAAGAGAGTTAGGCCAAGCATCACATGGCGGTTGTGGACCTGAGCTTCGGCCTCAAGAGGTAGTTATCAGCTGCCGACAACCGAGCCGAGTCAACCGGACTCTTTAATTGACAAACCGATTTTCAAAACATCGACACTACACCTCCGCAGAGAAACTCGGGCTGAAGATCTTGCAGCCGGATGCAGAAGCTTTCGTGCAGTCAACGTAGGTTGCGCTGGTGCTTTCCTGATGGTTCATGGAGGTAGATGTAGGAAGGCCAATGCACGAGCTGAAGAGACTTGTGGGCAGACATCTTCTCCAGGAAAGAGAGCCGCAGCATATTTAGATTTGGCGTCAGTATTATTTCTTCAATGGTTGCAACTCATGTCTTAGGCCAAGCCGGATGGCCATGGTGTCGCCGAACTCCATCACCTTATGGAGGACATGTGAAACTTAGCCATCACAAAATTGATCTTCTGTCTCGCCCACTTGTTCTGGGAAATAAGGCACCATCAATTAGTGGTGTAAGATGATAAAATAATGGTATTGCCTCGAATCAGCCCACAAACCGATATGAGGCTGGAGGACGCAATTGGTGGGAAGCTTGTAGCAGTCTATCGTCAGCGAACTTATTAAGACAGTAAGAAACTTGAGCTCTGTATGACCTGAAATGCTTGCATTGTGTTTCGACCTCGATCGTTGTAGTCTTCTCCTCGGACAGACAATGGCCATCGTTGATCTGACCTCATTCCAAAGGATGTCTGAAAGACCAAATGCCATTCTGGGGTGAGATGGGAGGTGATGAAGAGGTCTCGGGTTATGTCAGATCTAATATGGAAGAGTGAGGACGTACAAAGAAAATTATGTTCAGGCTGTGATGATGAGCCTCATGAACGTTTATGTCGCCCAGGAAGACTTAAGGTGATGGAATACAGCTAGTATCAGTACGCATACTGTATGCCGTGTAGATCGATATATTACCAGTAAGCTTCCATACGTTACCGCACCCCTGTGCTTACAGTACGCGCTTGGTAGCAGAATCTATGCCAGTGCCCTACGCTCGATCCTCCCCATTTACTATGTACATTGTCGATCTTAGATCTGTCGGTCTGCAAAGTTGCCCGAAAGCGGGAAATCAGCCTGCTCCATCACTGCTTCGCAGATCCGGTATCCTCGACCGCATCTTCCCGGTCCCAGCTCTCTGTTTCCAATGTGCGGACCCTCGTTTCTATATCAAGGATGCGCTCCTGCCAGTATCTCTTAGCTTTCTCTTGAAGATCCCAGGTGGATTTGAACTGTTCCATGATAAACGGCGGAAGCTCCGCCTTCTTGATTGCCTTGTAGTCATAAATGACCAGGTCCTCGGAAACGCGGGCAGCGGGCCGTTGGCGAGCCTCGGAGACTATCATCGCATGGAGATAGAACCCATGACGAGGTGCATCAGGGGATGTCGGGTCGTGAACCAGCTTATGATATACCGTAACTTTATCGGGGTAGGTCATGGGCTGCAAAGAGAGACGAAGTATTAGCGATCAGTCCTATATCTCAGCTGAGAAGACCGTACAAATTTGTAGTCAATCTTGATACTTCGAAGAATGAGTCCGATGCCCTTTGAGCTGACAAGATTCAACCACTCTGTCTTATGGGCCGGGTCTATATGCATGGCAAAGTTGCGGGTATAGTACACGCGCGCCGTCTCTGCATATCGGGGGTATGTGACGTTGTTCACATGTCCTAATCAGACGCTCATGATGTTAGACCCCTTGCTGTAATCCACTGACCCAATGTTGCTTTCGAAAGAAATATACACACCCTAGACTCACGAGTTAGTCGACATCACTTGTTACTTGAAAGAAGTTCCTGGCTTACCATGCTGTCCTGTTCGATGCAAGCGCCTACATTAGCATCTATGCATCATGCCATATGTAAGCTGCCATGCACCAGGTGACTATATATCATACCATCTCTCCCCACGCAACGCTCTGTTGGAATAGCCCCCTTCGTGTCTCATCTGTCAAATAGCCTTCGCTGCCAGCGATCAATTCTCGCCAATCCCTTGCAATCTGCTGTAGGATCTCCCCGGCTTCTTGAATCTGTGGGGACTTTAATCCGAACATCATGCATCTGCCGATTCTTCGCTTGGTCATGGTCAGCCATCGTGGATCAATGGTGTGAGGCTTCTTTGGCGTTGTTCTGGGGGCGGAAACGGGGGCATTTCGGAATGCGGTCGAGACAGAGAAGAGTCGGGTGGTAAGTGGTGAAGATTGAGCGGCAAATCCAGCCAGGGGTCGCCTTCCGAGTCTTTGAAGCGACATTATTATGAATTGGAAGTATAGGCGAAGCTAGTTATTGTCAATTGTCAGGATGTCGCTGTTTCCAGCCGAGGAGCTTCCCTCACTTCGGCTAGTTGTCCGGGCGGTTGGAGCTTCGGCTAGCCCCGCGCATTGTTTCCCTCTCTCCGCAAGCTGACATGGCCGGTGCTTGCTTTCTACAATAAGCCCTATTATAAGATCCGATACTTGATTTGTGATGGTCTGTATACAATGCTTAGTACTTATTTACAATATTCAGGCGTTACTGAATACCATCATGCTACTAGTAGCTGTTCCAGCTTCGGGTCATGGATTGATTGAGGCTAGTAAGTAGTATATATACATCCTGAATATCAACCAAGGCGATCGCTCAGCAACCTATGTGATTCACAATTGGATAGATGTGTTTCAGTATTTCATGCATCCTCCTATTGACCAGCATAACTAACCAGTGCAGTCGATTTAGATGTATTATACTAAACACTGCGCAAATCTAACGTCATTATTTCAAGAAACTTCTCGGGGTAACCTAGTACTTAAGACACTCGGATATATCTCCACCCATTACGATCATCAAATACCAATAATCACCAAGGTTTCGAAAGATACTTCGTCACTCTTGAGTATTATTCAAAGAAAGTCATTCATCCAATCCTTCTTAGCATCATAAATCCCCGACCTATACAACAGCTAGTATAATAAGTGCTTACTGGACGGTTACCCCTCCGAGGCAACAAGTAAGGATTCCGCCCGTGCGACGTCACCGGTAGTTACTTGTGTTCCGGCTAACTTCTTCCTAGAGCTGAGAGACAAACAACTTCTTCCTCCTCCACATTCCCACCTCCTTCGGAGAGTCCTGGCCCCCCTATTCCATTGACTGGCAACCCCATTCAATATGACGAATCCAGAACTTCGCGCGCAGGTCATACATATATACAAGGGTATGTGCATCACCCCGACTTCACGCATGCTACCATCTTCCAGTCATTTCTCCCCATTGTCGAATTTCTCGCAGCCAGCAAGCTGATTCCACGCCATCGGTAGAGCTGCTCTTCCTTGGTCGCAATTATCCCCTAGGCTACGAATATTATCGGAACAGGTTACATAAAGCATTTTCCAGCCAAGCGCATCTGGATAATGAGGAGCAGATCCGAAAAGGGATTGCTAGAGCGGAATTTGTCAAAAAGGGTACGTTTGACACATGTTTATATTGTTTGCCAGGATATTGAAACTAAGCTGATAATTGGTTCTATTCTACAGAAATCGAAGCATTGTGAGTTACCTTGTGCCCCTCCCTTACCGAAATCACGTCGGCGCCAGACTGCGTGCAATTCCTTATCTACAAACGGTGATGCATGTGAAAGTCCAAGTACTAGTACATCTATATTTAATTCTGCCTATCAACCATGTCCATCCGAATATTCATCGTCTCATAATTATCGAGATAAATCAGGCTCGACAATGTCAGCACCAATGCTGACCAAAAGTGCCCAGGTACTATCTGAAGCGATATCGCACCTTGAAACAGCGCTATGAAAATTAAATGATCCCGGCCGTTCAAAATACCATGGAGCCTTAATAACACGTTCTCAAGAATATTACACCAAGGAATATATATATGCGAAAACTGAAAGGAGAAAAAAGTGGGGTATCACCAATATGAGAGAGACCAATGGTCACGACGCTTTCCGTGTCTTTTTTTTTTTTTTTCTTTCCCGCGTTCGCCAGAATACCGGCAATTGAGCTTGTATCCTCTTCGCTGGAAGACGATTCATTTCTTTCGTCCCCACCAAGCGCTTACTTCCAAGCACTCCCCATTCGCGAGGCTTCCCTTCTGGAACAGATCGGCAATCATGGCAGCCCACCACCTGTCCCATTCATCTCTGGTCTTACCACTAGCTTCCATGAGGATATGCTCCATGCCCTCAATCATCTGAACTACGGTCAAAAGGGCCGTGCGCCGGATGGACAATTGATCTGCGGTCAACTGTCTGCGTGACGCGCCGACCGGATCCTTCCCATGACCTTCACGTTCCCACCGTAGTTCGCCCAGCGGGATAGCGATGCGGCGACTATCAACGTTCTCTAGTACGTCGACTTCTGAGTTAAAAGACAAACCAATTGTCGCACACGGCAAGGCTGTCAATTTGCGTCGGTCGAAGGCCTTTTCGACCCAGGAGTTATAGTCCTGGAGAAACTTGTTCTGAACACGTGTGAAGGGAGTTGCGGAAGAAAAGGTGTAGGTCGCGGTCGCATCGGCCGTCTCTTGTTCCCTTGACGCCAATTTGCGCGCGGGTGCAGGATTGGGAAGCAAAGATCGAAAGACCCAGTCAGAGTCCCAAATCTCCAGAATTCCGCCGGATTTGAGCACCCTCAGTGGCTCGCTTAACCCGGACGCTTGCAGCGCCGGACTAGCTGGACACATTCCTGCGTCCTTAATGAAGACAAAGTCGAAATAATCGTCGGGGAAAGGCAGGCGGGGCTTCCGAAGGTCGTGCCTTCGAAATTGCCAATGGACACCTTTCTTGCGCAGATCGGGGGCGACGGAGACGATGTCGATACCGTGGAAAGACACGTTGCGGTGGCCGCGTCGAGTGAAATATTCATGGCTCATACTGGACCAGAGGCCTGAACCACATGCGATTTCCAGAACCCGCTTTGGGGGTCGGTCGGCGAGGTGGGGGTTGCAGAATGGACCCCCGAACACGCGCATGAGCATGAGCGAGCGCAGGGTCTGACGATGGATCTCCTGAAGATCGCAGGGGAGAGGGTAGTTATTTTCAGGGTCTCTAAGATATGTGCGATCGCCCTGGCGGATCAGGGGAAAGTTGGAGTAGTCATTGAGGGAGGTTAAAGAAGAGGTAGATGTCGCAGCGAGGGTTGGGCCGGTCGAACTGGTAGTCGAATGGAGATCGGAGCCTGAAGTTGCGGCAGGCGCAAAAGTCGCAGGCCCGTTTGACATCATATCCATTTTGGCAGCGAAGATTGGGTTGTCATCGATCTGGTACAGCTAGCAACAACGATTTGCATGCTTGCATACGACAATGGCGACGCAGATCGATCACGGACGGGGCAGAGACGCGATTAATATGGACATGGTAATGTAATGTGGAAGGGAAAGAGCGTGGGAGGCGAAGTGAAACAAACGCTAGTCGGAGGGGGCGGGGAGGAGGAGGAGGGAAGCGAAAGTGAGGCAGTCCGGATACAGTTCCAGGCGGCCTCGACCCATGGGAAGCGAGAACGGGGAGAAGAAGAGGAGGAAGAAGAGGAAGAGGAGGAATGAGGAATAATAATGAGGAGAGAGGGAGAGGACGATGGAGGGGGGGCAAAAACCACATCGTGACCGAAAACGAAATCGCCCCGGCTCGATTAAATGAACCCCCCTTAGGGCCACTCCACTATGACTGCGACTGCCTTTTACTACTTTCTGCCACTAATCTTCTGGCGGGATTCCGGACGGCGACCTCCCCGAACTGAGCGATTTCACATCCTCGTTTTGGGTGGATTCGCTCCGTAGATACTATACATAACTTAATCTGTCACTTTTATTTACTTTTCTAAGTTGATTTTTCACTACTCAAAATCGGCGCCTGGTACAAAAGGTATCTGCCGAAAGACTCCGGACGATGGAGCTGAACGAATGCGCCCGCTTGGTGGTGGCGGAAAAGCTCCCACCACCACTACAAGTATGCTCCTCCTCAAACCAAACACAAATACTAACCAACCCGCCCGCATAAGCCCTGCTGATCTGATACCAATGACTGTTGTTTTCTCCTGCAGCTGCATCCAAGATCAACAGCCCGAGCTACGGGTTATTGGTTCGATTATTTGCGTTCACTGTTCCGCCCGGTGCCATCTGATCTCTCTTATGCAGAATCAGAATCCGTACATGCGCAGAGGCTACCGGGTGAAGGTGAGCTGAATCCGTATTCCAGATCCGTTTCGAGTGGTCTCGGCTATCTGGGAACCGCCCAAAACTGGGCCCCTTGTCTGGAACTGAATAAGTTCAATGGTCCAAACAAGAATCAAGGTTACAGCGGAGAAAGTGCCATCCGTGGTTCTTGTTGCAATCCCAAATCTGGCCGATTGAGCTGCTAACAAAAAAGAAGGACTGATAACGATAGCCGGAGTAATGATGAAACTGGGCACGTCCACTGCGAAGTACCCTGCTTCATCCCTTACCCAAGTTCACGGGTCACCCACTCAAGTTCTGACGCCCGAATCCACAGGCCAGCCCACATAGAGCCCTGCCCGGACATGCCGACATCCCACGGAACTGGAAGAACCGCGGCAGATGCTGCTGACTTGCTGAGCTTCCTAGATGGGTCACCTCACGTCTCCTGATGACACAAGGCAGAAAAATTGCCTTTCTGACGGAATCCGTCCGTTAGACTAAGGGGCGGAGAAGGAAGCAGTTGTTGATCAAGAAAAGTCAAATCAGATATTAAAATATCGAATTATTAACCAAAAAGAAATAGTTACATCTTTTTCTTTTTTTTTTTCCCCTTAGGGAGACAGAAAGATTCTAAGACCCGTCTAGCCTAGTCTCAGGCTCTCTTTTAGGCTATTAGCGACTGACTCCTTGACATCATGATTGTTTTGGCGTTAGCGACTTGATAATTTCAACAATATTAACGAACAAATTTGGGTAGCCGTGTGGGACTGAAGAATCCTAGCAGTGATTTGTAGTAACGATGGCGCTGCCGACGCGACCACTCACTTGTTGACTTTCCATCCTGACCAACCCTAACTACTCTATTCCGATGGATCTCGGAAGAAGAATAACAAACGGGTAAAGTGCATCGTAACAAATTTGTTAACGAAGGCCAGATCCTGTTCCATCCTACCAGGATCAATTCCCCCAACCAAGCAAGTATCAGTCGGCTGGAATAATCCTTTCTTTTTCCACCTGACAGACATTTGAAGGGGGAAAATTACATACATGAACCACCAACCAGAAGCCCAAGGACAGATAATTATTTAGTAACCACTACTAGTACTTACTGCTTAGTTACAATGGAAAAAACAAATAATAATCCAATTGTTGTTGGTTGGATTTTGGCCCACGCCGGCCGCAACGCTCCGCCGCCCACCCAGGATGATTATGCATGCCGGGGCCACTTTTCAACCTGAAAAGACACGTGCTTGCACGGGTCACTTGTTGCCCTGTCAGAGATTGCTCTTTTAACCACTATCCATTCCACTACTAATTGACTATTTGGGCATTCTTTCCGAGCTCAAGTCTGTCTGGGCTTATTCCGTAGTCCTTCTGGTGGTTTTCTTCTTTCTAGGCGCCAATCTCTTCTCCTCCACACACCCCCGTCACCCCCTTTTCTTTCCCCTTTTGTCGATGAACTGTTACAGGTTTCTTTCCATGTCGTTGTGGTGATGCTGTCAGCTTATGGATTGTCATATTTGAAGCTATTAAGGTGTCAGATTCTGTAACATCGGTTCTTATTCCGCCAGTCGGAGGTTTCTGATAATGAGTGCTGGTTTGGAATGCTGGTGGGGTTGAAACCAAACTGCCTCCAGCTGTCAGCATTGATGATGTGATTAGATCTCTTGAAGTCTGTTCCCTGCTGCCTTGAGTTGTACACATGCTTCGGTATTCGTACAGACTGTTGTACTACTGCCGGAAAACCTAATGTGTAACAGTTTCATCCTCGTGCATGCTGTTTCACACACTGCACTTATACTTTGGACATAGTTACCCAGCGTCTTGGTTATGTTACAATCACCCTACTCACCCTAACTACATACGTAGTTTTACCCCTTTGATCCCTTTGTAAGAAAATCAGTTCTACCGATTAACTATGTCATCCAGACAACCATTGACTGCTACTCTTGTGAGACCCTCACATGATCCCATGACCAAGGGTGACGATCTGATGTTAACTAGAATGGCAGTGCAACTAGACTAGATAAACTCGAACACGATTATACTAACTAGTATACTAGGCTGAACGAGACTACTACTAATGTATATCAAATCAGCGTCAACTCTCTACAGATACTAGTCTTCATGATCTCCGGAGCTAATGTTGATCGCAAGCCAAGCTGCTTTGCTCTTAGCAACCTTAGTAGAAGTATCGAGTAAATGTGTACAAGTAGAGTTCAGTCCTTGGCATACGGAGGCCAAGCAATGATGAATGGACAGGTTAATCCTCGAAATCTTACTAACGATTCTACTTATTCTTGATCGATAACTGCTTAATTGATTGAGACTATTACGGAGATCGATCTACTGCGCCGGGGGTTCTCTATCATCATTATTATGCTCAAGGGCTTTACATATCGAAATTCGGAACCAACTGAAACATTGCAAGGGATGAGTATTTCATCATCTGTCGCAAATAGATGCCATAGGCATTCATTGACCTCGGAGAACGAGTCCGGCGTGCAGGTATGTGGCAGGTGTATGTATGTGTGGCTGGCATGTTTCTATGCATTCCTGCTGCACCTGGGGTTCCAGCAAGGAGGGGGTTTGGTTTGCTAACGGTTACTGCTTGTCATTATTTTTGACAGACAGGGCTTGCTGCATAACAGTCGAAGCTGGTGGCAGTTCGAATGCGGTATATTATTTTTTTTGAGTTCACTTGGAAATCCTGCTTTGTCCCCAGAAAGGGGGTTTGCTGTAGCCTTGATGACTGGCTACTACAAATGGGGTACAAATTGTACAAGTGGCAATTTGTGTATGAATTTAACTTCCAGTGACACATATCTACCCGTTTTTCGACGATGAGTGTTTATTCGCAGAAATTAGGCAACATTTGGATTTTTTTTAGGTAGTCCAGATGGATAATGCTCAGAGCACGTCCTGGGGTTGCTGAGACACTGCTTGGCTGGGGGCTTATACGAGGATCATTACCCACCAAGACACCTTAAGTATCCCACAACCTCGTATTTTTCACGTGAGACGCATGCATTTGGCATCATATTGGGTTGCAAGGGGATGGGTGCTCGTCTACCAGGGGTTTCGGTTTTACAAAGAACTGAGAAGAACGCTTCAGACCGTTCTGGAAACATGGGCCCCTTTTGCGCTCACCCAACAATTAGCTGAAATGTGTCCAGAGTTAGTTGGGACCTTGCTCGATTAGTTAGATAGTGCCAAGTGGTCAGTGACCGAAAGCAATAAAGGGGTGCTATATAGCATAATAGTAACCTATAGCCCTCCTAAATATTTCTTGCATTGCCTATCGGAAGCAACCGAGCGAGTGAGCCACTGTGGTGTCAGTGCAAGGAATGTGTGGTCTTGATATGGGCTCCGTCATAGGGTCACGGGAGCGTGTTGGCACAGGCGATATGGCCAGTTTAATATAGATAAGATAGTGTGGCAAGTCCCTCCATGGACTGTGGAAGTCATTGTAGGGTGATATAGTAGTGACAATTGTGATATTGAAGAAAATGTAGACGCTGTCTTAGTCGGATATGCTTCATGCAAAAAGCAAGATGTAGCATATCTTCGATACTTCTGAATGCGTGTGGGCTGTTGACTGCTGAATGCCTCCTTACTTGTGCAGTGACCCCCGCGGATCGCCTAGTCCCCTCAATAATTGGGAATATGGGGCAGTGAAGGACCGATGCTGAGATCTTGTCCGGTTGCCGTTCTCCTGGGGGAGGTTAATAGGGTAGCGATGCTCACTTGGTGAGAAAAAGACAGATAATCTGTACAGACGTTGTCTATTGACTTCAGAACATCCCCTGCTCGCTGGGAGATATCCTTGTTCAGGGAAGAAGACCCAAGTCTGGAGGTGTGCTTGTCAAGGCTGGTCTTGGCTTTGCCATTGGCGGCGAATCACGCCCGCCGGATGTGACATCACGTGACACCGGCGACCTCCCGCCTTCGATGCAAACCACTTCGCAGCGTCAAGGCGACTGTGTCTCATCCCAACAAGCTGCCGGCGCCTTTGCTACGTCTTCAGACCTATTTTCAAGTGCGCATTGTTCACTCTCCTCCAGCGAGTTTGTCTCTGAGAGTCCAACCTGACCTTGTTCCCAGGATTCTCAACAGACTTTCGTCGTCCGTCCTCTTGTGTCTCGGTCGCCCGACGCCCGCCGTATCGTTCAACCCTCGATCGCTTTCCCGATCTCCATCTCCCCAGGACTGCATCTCGAAACCGTGTGCAACCAGCATTGGCTAAATTGCTGCGGTTGTGATTCCAGCCTATCCTTAGATTGGGGTGGTTCCGCTTCAGGACCCCATGTTGAAGAGAAGGAGAGAACGCATTCGATCCCCGACTCCTCTCTCTCCTGCCACCGCCGCCTCCCCGAGCCCAACCCTGCCAGCCTCAACCTACCCTAGGAACATTCAACCGATCGACCTACGGTCTCGTCTGCCACGTTAAATGGCAGATGGTACCTACAGGTTCCAGCAGCCTGGGGCCGGGCAGTTCTTCTTCCAAACACAAACGCAACAGCACTCTCACCAACGTCATCTCGTACGCAACGGGACAAACTCCCCCACTGGAAGACTAAAATTTAGTCACGACACTCCTTCTCCCTCACGTTCACCTCCGATCAACCAAGCTGCTGCCTTGAACCCCTTCACGATGTATACACAAACCCACCAAGGGCAGCATGTCATGATGAATGGCGGCCAGGCCCACCAGCGATTTGGCATGCAGATCCCCAAGTTCCAATCGCAGAGCCATCACCCCCACCCCGCACAGCAAGCCCATCACCATGCCCATCACAACCAAGCTTCTCATAGCATCAATCACCAGCACAACTTCTCCAGTGGGGCATTGGCTGCCGCCACTCCGCACTTCACTCCCGGCCCCCTCCAGAATGGCGCTCATGTTAACGTGGACGAAGATATTGACGAGACCATGAACGAACATTGGCAGCAGCAACTTCAGCTGGCTGCGGAGTCACGGCAGGCAAGCTCCCCGCATTATTACGCCCGCACCGTCGCACAGCAAACCAAGGGTATCCAGATTGCGCCCAGTCAGCCTGAGCAACAAGAGAATGGGAGCGGCGATCGCAATGGCCTGGTGAAGTCCAAGCCTGCTCCTCGGCAAGGCTGGCATGCTCTTGATTTCGGCGGACAGGGTCTCCGCGCGCTTGCGACATCTTTGTTTCACTATACTTTCCTCGAGAAATTGTACCTCAATCACAACAAGTTGAAGACGCTCCCTCCGGCGATTGGCCAACTGCGGAAGCTCACCCACTTGGATCTGTCGAGCAATGATATTTCGGAGCTCCCCGAAGAGATCGGTATGCTCACAAGCTTGAAGCAGCTCCTCCTGTTTGATAACAACATTCGCACGCTTCCGTTCGAGATGGGTTATCTTTATAGATTAGAGATGTTGGGAATTGAAGGGAACCCTCTGAATGATATTTTGAAGTCTCAGATCATCAAGGAAGGAACCAAGGCCCTAGTCCGGTATCTGAGGGAAGAAATGCCAGGTTTGTGCTCACGACTCAAAGCTCTCACCATGCACCTCATACTAACTTCGTTTCCTAAAAGTGCATCTTCCTCCCCCGGATAGAGATTGGATCATCCTGGATGAGACCTCTAGCTCCTCCAACACTTCCATCGAGAAGATTACCGTCCTTTCCCACAACGCCCTCTGCGACTCTTCCGCAACCCCGAGTCACTTCGGTTATACCCCGTCCCGTGTCCTTTCTTGGGAATTCAGACGCGAGCTTATCCTGAGCGAGCTGAGGTCTCACGACTCGGACATTATCTGTCTGCAGGAAATCGACCAAGGCAGTTACAATGGATTTTTCCGGGAGCAGCTGGCTTATAACGATTACAAGGGTGTATACTGGCCTAGAGGTAGAGCTATGGGTATGCAAGAGGAGGAAGCGAAGTCGGTCGATGGCTGTGCCACCTTCTTCAAGGGAAGCAAGTTCATCCTTCTCGATAAGCAGATGATCAACTTCGGTCAAACAGCAGTGCGGCGACCGGATGCCAAGGGTCAAGATGACATTTACAACAGACTCTGGCAGAAGGATCACATTGCGGTAGTCATCTTCCTGGAGAACCGGCTGACAGGCTCCCGCTTCATCGTCGTGAACGCGCATCTCTACTGGGACCCTGCTTTCAAGGACGTGAAGTTGATTCAGACCGCCATTTTGATGGAGGAGATCACTAAGCTCTCCGAGAAGTACGCGAAATTCCCACCGTGTACTGACAAGACTGCATTCCGCTTCTCGGAAGCAGAAGGTGAATCGGAAACTCCTCCACCTGAGCCTGCACCGTCTATGGAGTATGCCAGTGGTGATCAGATCCCGCTATTCATGTGCGGTGATTTCAACTCGGCGCCTGGGTCGGCAGCGTACAACTTGGTCGCACACGGCCGGCTCACGGAGTCCCATCCGGACCTGGAGAAGAGGCTCTACGGCAACCTTAGTCGGGTCGGTATGACGCACCCGTTCAAGCTGAAGTCGGCGTACAACTCGATTGGCGAGCTGAGCTTCACGAACTATACTCCGGACTTCAAGGATATTCTTGACTATATTTGGTATACTTCCAACACACTTCATGTCTCGGCGTTACTTGGGGAGGTGGACAAGGACTATCTGCAGAAGGTGCCCGGGTTCCCCAATTTTCATTTTCCAAGTGATCATGTCGCATTATTTGCGGAGTTTACAGTTAAAGGGAAAAAGGGAAAGGTTGTGGAAGCGGATTTTGGGCCGCAACGGAATTGAAGGGACGGTGCATGTTGAATCTTACGAGACTGGTGTTTGTGTAGCCGGTTCATCTTGTTATCTCGGAATCTTTGGGGGCCTTTCGCGTGTCTGTGGTGTTAACTCTTTTTACTCCTTTTCTTTCTTCTTACGCTATCATGCTCTTGTTGCATTTTGTTTCTTTTCTTCTTTTCTTCCTTCCATTCTTGTGAGTTTACTTCCTGCTTACTGCTGTCGCCCAGCGGACTTTCGTTCAAATGGAACTCTGCGTATCCATGCATCATCTTTGGAAAGTAGTCAGTCACATCGGCGCAGCAGCTTTGCTTTATCTCACGCAACACACACTCACACTCTCTCACGCTCTCTTTCTACTACTACTACGTCGTTCCTCCTCCCAGCTTTGGTATGTGTTAGGATCTGATTATGCCTTTTCTTCTTCTTAACGACGATATTTTTATCTCTTCACTTTCCAACATGCTTTTCTCCATTTGTTGTAGATTGAATCTCACGAACGGATTCTCTCTCTCTCCTTTCTTAACCTTTCTTCATCTCATCTCAATATTTTGCACTTAGGCGGGCGAATCGGTCTCATCTGTACCTCTTCTCTGTGTGTGGTGTATGTATGTGCTCGTTGTATCCTTAGGCGACTACTACTTCTACTACTGGTTGGTCGGCGGTTTTCTTTTCACGTACGTGCCTGTTGGTTTGGGCTTCGTTGGTTTGGGATTCGCTTGACGTTTATAGCTGAGCTTGTTGGTCGTTGATCTTTCTCTTTTACCTTCTTTGATGTAGAAAGGGAGAGTGGGTGGTTGATTTGACTTAGGCTGTTGTTTAGTATGGGGAATCGGGAATGGGGGTAGTGCGTTTGCTATTAGTGTATTTGAATAAGCCTGTTCTTATTTATTTTGTTATTTTTCCTTTGATTAGGTCTCTTACTTTTGGGGCTTTTCTCTATCTATTCATTAAGGTTGTAGATTGTAGTTCGGTGAGTGCATACGTGTATGCTCTTTTGGATAATGGAGTGCATTGTCTGAATTCAACGTATGCGAGGATGGTCATAGGACATAATTGATATTTGAGTAATAGTACATGAGGTAGGTCTTTCTTCTATGGTATGCATGTTGGTACAAATGGGTATCCAAGAATACTGTAGGTAGGTAGGCATATAAAGCGGGGAATAGTTTGAAGCTCAGCTCAGCTCAGCTCACTTAGCTCCTCCGCGCATCCTCCTCTATCTTTCTCCAGATTCCAACAAAGCCACCGCCCACAATCCGCGCGCCAACCTTTGGCCTGCACACAAGCACACTGTCTTCCTCCTTGGGCGTCTTCTCTTCAGCAACATCTGCAGACTCAGTCTCAACGGCACCCGTCTCGACGGACTCCTCTGAACCGGAACCCTCCTCGGTGGAGGAAGCCACCGACACATTATCCCGGGACTTCTTCACCGCGTGCCGGATATCCCATAGCCGACCACTGCTGATCCCGTTTCCGAGCTCGACAACCTTATCCTGGACGAATGGTAGTCTCTGTCGACGAATGAGCTCCACACAGTCGCCGATCTGCGTCACGCTCGGCATGAAAACAGCTAGAATGCCGTCCCGCTTCAGGATGGAGGCGACGTGGGGAATCCGTAGATGCGCGGAGGGCATATCCAGGATCGCGTAGGAGAGGAACGGCTCAACCTCATCTTTCTTGAGCGAGGAAAGGAGGCCTGTCGGTGCGCGTTGTCTCTTCTGCTCTGCGATCCAGTCCTCTACGTGCCCGGCGTAGAAGTCCACATTGCCTGCGTAGATGCCGCGACGGAAACCGCGGACGATGCCTTCGGCGTGGACGGAGGATTTGGGCGTCACGTCGACGCTGTGGATGATTGCTTTGCGTTGGGAGCGCCAGGCGTCCCAGTTCTCCTGGTCGGGGTCCACGGTCGTTTCTGAAGCGCCATCTGCGGGCGGCTGTAACTTGCGGGTCGGAACCTCGCCGGGTTTGGTGGGTAGGTATGTGACTTGCGAGCTTGGGGGGAGGGGTGGAGGAGTAAAGTTGGCGCCTTGGATGGCGCGCGCTAGGTGTAGGGTCAGGGAGCCGTGGCCGGTGCCGGATTCGAGGATTTCAAGGGGCGGTGTGTATGTTCCTTCGGCTGGGGGTGCGATGTGGATGTCGAGGAGGGAAACGATGAGGTTGGCGTCTGCTGAATAGATCTAATGGCATGCGTTAATGAGGAATTGGGGGTGGTCGTGGTATTCGTTGACGACGGTGTAGTTAGATTCGTACCGGCGTGACTAGACGGGGGGTCATGGCAACATATTCTTCGAGGGTAGGGAGGGAGAGTCGGTATTCAGGGCCTGTATTCAATGGAGATTATTAGAATGCGCCCGGCTAGGTTAATACTGGAATGAGGAAGATACTGACCTTTCCGCGCCTGCACCAGATCCCGTACTCTCCGGCCGATGATGTTGTCGTGCTCCAATTGTCCGCGACGAGTGTCGGATTTATGACCCTTCCGCAAAGGTTTGCTTAGTAGCGGCGACTTGCCATGAACCACAACTCTATCTCCCTCTAAGTGGTGGATTTAATCTGTTAGTGTGGGATGGCGCGCAAACTGTGAACGAGCGAACGGCGTTCAGTCGAATAAAAGGTGTGACATACCCCGAAAGACGGAGAAATTGGTGTCGATTGAGCGGGCATAGCGAGGGACAGGAGTGGAAGATGTTAAGCCTAGGGCTCGACGCAATGATTGCAGTAGACGAGCCATGGCGTGTGATGATTCAGAGGGAGTGATGCCCTCAATCAAGTGTCCGAGAAAGTATCGGCGCCGAAAGATCGAGCATCAAAAATTCGGGACTTTGAATTGGAGACTCGCCGGGAAGATACTCGGTTCGGCTAGACCCAGAATGGTCAGAAAATTAGCATTTAGACAAGGGAAATAAGACTGGCTCCACCGAAAAGAGGACAATTCCAGCTTTTAGTGTCGCGCTGGAAATTATGGGGAACTCCGCATGGGTCCATCGCTGGTGGTGATTGTCCCTCCTTTGCACTTGATCGAGTCTAGTCTCTCTGCTTTCTCACCGCGGGGTTCTTCTTCTTTTCTCTCTTTGCTTCTCTCTACTTAGAATCGCTCCATCTCTCTCTCTTTCTCTCCCTTAAGTTCACATCTTTCTCCTTCCTTTTGTTACCCGAACATCCGACAGGTTTATTCCCATCCTCTGCCGTCCTTGATTTAGGTTTGTTTCCCCTGTTCCATTTCCCAGGGACGGAGTTATTGCCGTCGTTTACTTTTGAGCATCACCCAAACTTGCGCAACAGAAGGCGCCCTCTAATCTGTCCCTATATATGTCAACCAACGCTGAGTCTAACACAGATACTGCAGAACCATCGCCGCGAAATCAAAGCGACCAGGCCTTCATTATGACTGTTACCACGCTACCGTACATGAAAACGAACCCCAAGCTCATATTCTTCACCGATTTTGATGGAACGATCACCCTCGAAGACAGTAGGTACAGACGAAGTTCGCACAGCATGTCCACTAGCTAAGTACTCTATGCAGGCAATGATGCTATGGTATCTACCCTTTCCAACCTACAAGCACCACCACTAAACCTGCATGTTACTGACACTTGGTCCCAAGATCGATAACCTTGGCTACGGGCGCGCAAAGCGCCGTCAAGGCAATGAGGCCGTCCTTGAGGGCACCATGAGCTTCCGGTATGTGAGTACAGACAGCATATGTAGACACCTTGCTAACCTCTACTGCGAAGTGACGCTTTTCGCGACATGTTGGACAGCATCAAGACCCCATACAACGAGTGCATCGAGTACCTCAAGAAGAACATGAAGCTGGATCCCTACTTTGTGGAATTCTACAAATGGTCCAAGGAGAACAACGTCCCGATCGTGGTGTTGTCTTCCGGCATGATTCCAGTCATCAGCGCCCTCTTCGAGACGCTTTTGGGCGGCGAGCCGGACGACCACCTCTACATCGTTGCCAACCAGGTTGAGAGCCGTGATGGCAAGGACATCAACTCCGAGGGTGGCTGGCAGATCAAGTACCATGACGATAGGTAAGGAAGATCTTCTTGGAACCGGTCGCTGGGCCAGAACTGACGTCATACTGCTAGCCACTTCGGCCACGACAAGTCCCTGGAAATCAAGCCCTATGCCGCACTGCCGGACGGTGTGCGCCCGACCTTGTTGTACGCAGGAGATGGCGTGTCCGATTTGTCAGCCGCTGCAGAGACTGATCTTCTGTTTGCCAAAAAGGGCAAGGGTGCGTTTACCAAGATCTGACATTGAAGTTTGCATTATGTAGTTACTGACTCTTTTTCAGATTTGGTGACATTCTGCGAGCGCGAGAAGATTCCGTTCACGCTATTTGAGAGCTGGGAGTCGATTCTCGCTACCACCAAGAACATCCTGGGTGGAAATGTTTCAGTTAAGGAGGTTGCTCAAGATGGACTGACTGCGGTCCACGAGGGAGCCAACAAGAACTGATGCGGTGCAGCTAAGATAAGATATCATTCTTTCATGCTGTTAGATATAGATCGCTTGAGTATATACGCACCAGGGACATAGTACTAGTTTAGATATCATGATGATTAGATGGATTAGTTAATAGAAGTGATGATATGCATATCAGTACGCGTTATTTGCATTTTGCACGGAGTTGTGTAGGGTTCTAGGAGGCTATATCAGAATTGGTTAGTCACTGCTACTTCCACCCTGATCAGCAACTATAGTAATATATGACTGACTCTTTTTTCTTTTTAATAAATTGGCTTTGAGCTGAATATACTTTATATTGTTGACTACTAAAAATTTAGGTAGCGAGGAAACAAGCGGTATAGCAGTCTAGCTTGGACTCTAGAAGAGTGTTGAGACATTATTTCTACTGTGTTTGAGGTATCTATACTATGGCAACTTATAGTCCTATTCCCTGCTTATAGTTAACGACGATTTAAGACTGATAATATATTGACCTATCCTAAAATCTGCTTCCAAATGATTGAAACTCCTCTATCTACTTTAGTTCTTTCTATCCGGATATCCTATCGTATCCATACATCTACATTCTCGAGACTCAATTGTATACTATCCTGCGCACGTGTATCACGCGGACTTCATTATAGTTGTAAGTTATGTTGCAATCTGAGCTGAATATAGTTCGAGTGAGTCGGGCATAAAGTCATGATATCTGCTCACTTCAGAGGAGAAGAGCACAATAAGTGCAAATGCTGTGACAGCGCAGCCGCTAAGAAAATGTGCTACCGAGGAGAACAAGAAAAAGCACAATGCACAAAGGAGTACATAAGCAGGGGTATCCTCGCAGGGGTAAATTGGCCCCTTCTGGCAAATGCAACAGCAGCAAAGCAGTAGAAAGTAAATGACAATTCATACAAATGCAAGCCCCACCTTTTTCCTTTTTCCTTTTCTTTGCGTTTCCCCTCCCACCAACTACTACGGTCCTGAATCCTGGCGTTTTTTCTCTTTCTTGGCCCAACGTACTGATCACATTTCAATGTCAGTACCGATACAGAAGTTTAACTAGTCAGATGATCAAGGAGGGGGAGAAACTCACAGCCACAAGCGTTACACAGAGTCTTTGGTCCTTCCGGGCCTTTCCTCCACTCGGGTGAATCTGATGTCCCGCAATCCGTGCACATATACTCGCCTTTCATTCTTTTTTTCCTGTCAACGGCCTCTGCAGGATTCTTGGATTGTGTTTGCTGTGGCTGTTGCTGTTGCAATTGTTGCTGCTGTTGTTGGTCGTTTGGAGGAGCCGCAGCAGCAGCAGAACCGGCAGCAACGGTATTCGGCTGCTCCGCATCACAACGAACCAGACGGCCATGACGGACTCCCGTACTCAATCCCTGTGATCTTTCTCCTTCTCCGTAGTACAAGCCCGTCATAACCTCAATCCCGTCGATATGGGACATGTCTTCAGTCTGTGGCAACCGATCCCCAATCTGCTCCAGAAATGATCGCGAATCGGCGTCGTCCGTATTAGTGAATGTGTCGGATGATTCATTCTCCTCTCCAGATACTGATGTATCTCGTTGCGCAAACGAGGTTTGTGTCGTTGATACATACGTCTGGCGCGTTGTTGTCGTGGTAGTGGTGCTGGTTGTCGTTGTTGTTGACGTCTGCCCTGGTCTCGAATTCAACTCCTCTTCTTCCTCTTCCTTCAATTGGGCTATGCGCTGGTTCAGCCGGATGTTCTCGATCTTATGTTCCAGAAACGAATCGAGTAACTGTGAACCCCGCGTGGGATATGGTCGACAGACAAGGAATATCCCTTTACAGACTGTCTTTTGTTGCTGCAGCTGCTGGGATGATTCTGCGGTCGCAGAAGAAGCAGACCCGGTCGTCATTAGGTGTGGATGTCCATGGGCCTCTAACAAACAAGAGCTACTGTCAGGCCTACAGAGCCGGAAGTGACATCGAATTTCGCGTCCAGTTTTGATGCACTCGTCCAATTCGTGGCCTAAGATAGGCTTGTCGTCTTCATGGACGAAACGGGAGAAATCGCTTTGTTCTAGCATGTGCGATTCAATACCCGTCACCTCGGAGCATGATGGTGACGCGTATAGAACCTGTCCATCGTGACTGAGGAGAAGGAGCAAGTCTTTCAGTTCGTCTAGTACCCGTGCAGACCAGCCGTCATTGTTGGTGCCGGCAGGGCCTATGTCGGGAGTGGGGTGGTGGGGATTGCTGGTTCCCGCTGGCGCTGTAGTAGTTGTAGGTATGGAAGCAAGAGCAGGAACTGTGCTTGTGATAGTGGCAGGAGTCGTTGAAGTGGTAGCAGCAGCAGCAGAAGAAGAAGAGATGGTGGCGGAAGCGGAGAGTTGAAGCAGATTAGCGGCGCCGCGGCTCATCGAGCGAGGAATACTCCGCGCGTCCATGCTATACGGGGGCCCCGGTGGTTTTGAGTTCGACACTGGGGCTCGTAGACCGTATGCCTGGGACGGAGTCTGGTTCTGCGCCACTCTTCGTCCTTGATGGAATTCGAGTTCCATCGCTGGGCTGCGCGGGGATCAAATCGATCGATCGCCGGGGTGGTGGGGACTCTTCTTCCCGGGGGGGTGAAAAACTCGGTAGGTTTCCCTATAAAGAATATGATACAGAAAGGGATTGGAAGGAGATAGAGAGAGAAAGAAGAGAGGGTAAGTGAGCAGTGTTTCTTGGACTTTTTCTGGACATGACCGCGGTGGTGAATCCAGTAGAGCTGTCAATTCTTGTACTTTTGGTCGGCCACATCGTCATTGGTATCGCACCGACACGCGGGATCCACTGCGGCTGCCAATCAAATCCGCCGATGGGGCTTCCCGGCGATTTCCGCACTATCCGGGCTGCTGATTGGTGCGTTGCTGCGGCGTCGGGAAACTTTCAGGTACCGTTGTACAATACAGGTCGGTATGTCTGTATGATTGCTGCAGGGGGCATCCCGGTCGATGCTTCATTGCTTCAAAGTTGGGTATTCTTGCTGCTTCGCTTGCGCTCCGCTTGCGATACCCCCCCAATGGATTATCCTGGATTCTATCCCTCTTGACTGGCCCTCTACTCCTTCTCCTTTCCTGTCACGATCACCTCATCCCTGAAGCATACATCATCCTGCGTGGTGTGGTGTGGGATTATCTTGTCAAGCACGGGTTGACTATCTGGCTTCCGTTAGATCCGCTAGGGACGTGCATCGCGTAGCGCCGCCATCTACTAATTTTAACATTCGTGGGCTGATATCAGGCATCAATAATAGATGAAATTATCGACTATCTATCGACTATTTCGACTATCATCCCTTGAGGAGCCTGCAATCCGCATTTGCCTTCTTTTAATTCTCCGTGGGATATCCACACCGAACGCCCTTTACAATCTATCCCGCCTTGAAAGAACATGCAAAGCTGGGAAGCTGCAGATGCTAACGGTCACCCGTCTGTGCAATTGCAGACGTCAGACCACACCGCACCCACGCGAACGGGTACGTTGGACTCTGTTAGGTGCTGGTGGAGATGGCCTAGAGTATTAAGCGAGCCCAGGCGCAGACCAGACCCGGAATGTCCTACCGGCGGGATGATCCCCCTGTCTTGGGGAGTCTGATACCATGCTCATGCCATGTTCTTCCTTCCAGCCTTACAAAGGATGAATGCACCTCCCGCTTACGCTACTACAGATGACGAGCTACTACGCAGAGCAATGAGACGGTCAGATATGGCTGATACCATAGCTCTTTCTACAGCCCATATAAACTTATGTGCCACAGTATCTGAAGATTCATTAACATAACCAATCTGCTTCAATTGACAATTTGGCAAGAAAATTTCAATGTGAAGGCCCTACCAGGGAACCTGAGAACCACAATTGCTGCCGTCACTATTCCAGGATCCTTCCACATGTTCTGAGACCGAGGCCATGACTAGCCAAGCCCCACCGTCTATCTTGTTCGACACGTCAGAAGCAACTACGACATGCACATGGAGGAACGGAAGCTTGGCGGCCGCTACTTCCCAAAGACAACATCAGCTTTGCTGATGCACCACTCAGCTGGAAGATCTTACTTACTGTTTAATCACAACTAGTATTTGCACCTGCACCTCAGTCCATGATAGTGACAACCACAGAAATGATAATCTTTATCATGGCAATTGCATACTTTCAAAACGCTGCATCTGCCTTCGCAGAAACGGTAATTCTTGAACTCGGTTAGCATTGATCCCACCAGCCAAATAGGATGGTGTTTACAGAGTTCAACTTTTCCTCGACATCTGTGGTAGCCATGGACATGCCATTACCGTCAACATCGTCGAAGGCCTCGTTAGGGTTATTGACGGCTGCAGTGCCAATATTCCCAGCAACTACATCATCGACATTGGCAACTTCGGTAGGGTTGGCAGAAGAAGTGGCCAGGCTAGCCTTGAAGAAGAGACAGGACAAGCACAAGAGAACGATGATGTTCTTGAAGTGAAACATTCTGAATGGACGTGAACCGGCACAGTATCTGAATGTGAGTGGAGTAGGGGTGGTTCGATAAGAGGATAGGTTTGAGAGAAGAGGGCTTTGAAACAGAGAAGGCTGGAAGGTAGGGTGAGCCTTTTGTATGTGACACCTGGTGTCCGCAACATCAATCCTACGTGCACTTGAGTAACCGCTCTAGCCCAAAGAATCTACAGTAGATATTATCATAGTTGCCATGCCCGCTATTTACATCTGAGGCACAGCATCTTGAACCTAAGGGTACTTGCAACACGGGATACAGCGAAGAGGTAGGGGTAGCAACACACAATTTACTGATCTTTGCATTGCCCGATTCGATGTTGTCAAATAACATGAAAACCCCCAGATAGGATTGCCAGTGATTCATCTGTTGCAGCCAGTCTGAAATCGAATAGCTTAACGCAGGTATATTGCGTAGGGATATCCTCTACTTACTTGTGTACAGAGAATCCAGCAGAGACTTCATCCTATAGCCCATGTAGTCAACTCAGTCGTGGCTCTTCTACCCAACCAAGAACGGAGCGTCCGTCCCCATAAGTTCCACGAAGAAGCACAGAGTCCCTCCAAGGAAGGGAAAGCATGCCCCGAAAAGAAAGTATCAGCAAGCCACAGACCATCCGATTATTCATCTGCCAAAGCAACTCCACAAAATTAAGCCCACCCCCCTACCCCATCCCATCCTAGTGGTGTCCTCTAGAAAGCATATACATCCCAAATCAATATCCACCGCCCCAAACTGACCGCCCATACACGTGACCTCGCGCCGTCTCCCCGCGTCGACCGACGCGCCGATCCCAAGCGCAGCTGCTTGCTATCTATCCGGCACGCTTTCTTTATCCCGAGTGGAGAAAGAATATCACGGGGAAGGTGTGATTTGCAGGCCTGCTACCTACCCTTACGCATCCGTGGAAACGGACCGGGCCTTTTCTTCTTTCTTTGTTACCCTTCCATTGTGAAGTGACGTCTTCCATAATGTGAGATTTCGTTCTGCATCCGGCCACAAACATTCTTTACTAATCAGTCCGTCCGCAGGTGTAAGTTCCGCGAAGGTCGTGTGAAAGATCGAGGATATTAACCATTGGGGGTTTGTTTGTCGCAGCGAAGATAGATAAGTTGTCGATATTGGGGTGAGTGCTCCTTTTTTATTGTTTATTTGGATGGAGAGATGTGTAGGAGTGTTTTGCTGACAGTTGCTTGTGATGGGCGCTAGTGTTCGGTCGTTCGATAATACGCGCAGCGAGACGATTCAGTTTCACACTCCTCTTACGCTGATTGTTGGGTATAATGGATCTGGAAAGACGGTATGATGGATGGTATATGATGGTATTATGGAGGTTGTTAAGCTAATGGAGTTGGGAGCAGACAATCATTGAGTGTCTTAAATATGCGACCACCGGCGATTTACCACCCAACAGCAAGGGTGGTGCGTTCATCCACGATCCAAAGGTACGCGATTCTATGAGATATGGTATTGAGTAGGATGGACAGACGTGCTGAGTTATTATGGCAGCTATGTGGCGAGAAGGAAGTCCTGGCCCAGGTGAAACTGTCGTTTAAAGGCACGTCAGGCGCGAAGATGGTTGCTACGAGGAGTCTACAACTCACGGTGAAGAAAACAACACGGCAACAAAAGACACTAGAGGGTCAGTTATTGATGGTTAAGGATGGTGAGCGGACGTCTATTTCCTCCCGCGTGGCGGAGCTGGATCAGATCATGCCTCAGTATCTCGGTGTATCAAAGGCGATCCTGGACTCCGTTATATTCTGTCACCAGGACGAGAGCTTGTGGCCGATGAGCGAACCCTCAGTGCTGAAGAAGAAGTTCGATGAGATATTCGAAGCTATGAAGTATACGAAGGCGATCGACAATATCAAGTCTTTGCGGAAGAAGCAGAATGAGGAGCTTGCCAAGTACAAGATCATGGAGCAGCATGCCAAAGAGGATAAGGAGAAGGCCGATCGTGCAGAGAAACGATCAATAAAGCTTCAGGACGAAATTGAAGCTCTGCGCGAAGAAACACACCAGCTCTCTCAGGAAATGCGCCGGGTGGCTGATCTTGCTGATAAGGCGTGGAAGGAGTCTGAAAGCTACTCTCAGGTGTTAGGTGCGCTTGAAGGAAAGCGTATTGAGGCCAAGAGTATTCAGACAACTATCGATAATCTCAAGAGACATCTGGTTGAGTTAGATGACTCCGATGAGTGGCTACAGTCGAACTTGGAGCAGTTTGAGTCAAGGCAGCTTCAGTACCAGCAGCAGGAAGAAGCCAAGAAGGAGAACTATATGGAGCTCAAGGAGCAGATAGAGCAGACTCGACAAAGACTGGGTGTCAAGCAAGCAGAGTATGGCAAGTTTGAGAACGACAAAGCCAACTTCGAGCGCCAGGTTGAGCGGCGACAGAGGATGACGAAAGAGGTCGCTCGAGCGCACAATATCCGTGGTTACGATAATGTCGAGGACCAGGCAGACGTTGATGAGTTCATGCGGAGAGTGCGAAAAATCCTGAAAGATCAAAACCTGGCACTGGAACGGGTGAGGAAGGAGGCGCAAAATGAACTGCGTGACGTCCAGGCAACCCTTAACCAGATCGGACAACAGAAGTCTGCGCTACAGGAAAGCAAAAACGCAGCCAAGCGACAGATTGCCTCGAATGATAGGGAAGCAGCCACCTACCAAGGAAAACTCAACGAGATCAACGTGGACGAAGGCGTCCAGGCTGCCCTGGAGTCGAACATTGAAGACATCGGATCTCGTTTGGACCAAGCCAAGGAGCGCGCACGATCCGCATCTTGGGACAAGGAGATTCAGAATGTGAACTCACAAATCCGCGACCTTGAGGATGAGAGTTCGCGCTTGAATACTGAGCTCATCGAGGCAACAAAGAAGGCTGGTGATTTGGCTCGATTAGACCACCTCAAGAAGGAATTGAAAGAACGGGAGCGCGGATTGGAGACGATGAAAGGCGCTCACGGTGAACGACTGACAAAATATGTAAACGCCAACTGGAGCCCTGAATCTCTAGAGCAGGACTACCAGCACGTCATGGAGGAGGAGTCCAGACATGTCTCAAGGGCAGAGCGCGAGCGTGATGGAGTCAGCAGAGAACTCGAGCAGGTGGAGTTCAAAATGAAGGGCGTCAAGAAAACATTAAGTCAGCGACAGAAGGAACTCAAGGAGTGCATCAAAGAGATCCGCGATGCCGTCGATGACGAACCGGAAGAATACCCTGAGATTTTGAAAGAGCGTCAAGCCCAGCTCGATCTTGCCAGGAAGGACGCTGAACAATACGCCGGAGTCAGCAAGTACATGGCTGACTGTCTCGACACCGTGAAGTCGGCAAGCATGTGCAGATTGTGCATGCGGACTTTCCGAACCGAAAACGAGCTACAGACCTTCAAGAACAAGTTAGAGGGGTTAGTGAAAAGAGCGAAACGGGTGATGGAGGATGACGAAATACCCCGTCTCGAAGAGGACCTTAATACCGCCCGCGAGGCCAGCACAGCCTACGATACCTGGTGTCGGCTGAAGCAGACAGAAATTCCAGATTTGGAGAAAGAGGAAGAAGAGTATACTGCCCAACAAGACAAGCTCCTGAGCCAATTGGAAGAGAACGACAAGATAGTCAGCGAAAAGGCCGATAAAAAGAAGGACGTCGAGTCATTGTCAAAGACGGTCAATACTATTGTCAGATACGATAGTGAAATCAAGTCCATACGCTCCCAGGTCCAGGGCTTGTCTTCGAAACAGCACGATACGAATGCCTCTCGTACCCTGGAAGATATTCAGGATGAAATTGCGGGCATTGGCGAGAAGTCTAGAGCCTTGAAGAAGACTCTATCGAAACTCACTCACGAGAAGGAGCAAACATTGTCTGAGATGAACAAATTGGAGCTGCAACTCAGAGACGTCAAGAGCAACCTCGACAACGTGAAATTCAAGCTCGAGCGGAAGGCAGACCTCCTGGCTCGCATCGAAGAGTACAAGAACCTCAACAACCAACAACGCGGAGCCATTGCAAAGGCGGACAAAGAGATTGAAGATCTCACCCCTGAACTTCTCAAGGTCCAAGCCAAGTACGACGATATCAGCCAGCGTGCCGAAGCGCGTGAAAAGGACATGCAGCAGGAGATATCCCACCTCTACGAGAATGTACACCAACTTGAACTGGCAAACGAGGAGATCGACGCCTACAACGAGCGAGGCGGCCCTCATCAACTAGAGCGCAGCAAGCGTGAACTGCAAAGCATCGAGGACGAGATCAGCAATCTCGAAATCGAGCAAGCCAATATCACTAAAGAGATCAACAAGATATCTGCTCAACTCAAGGACAGCGAGAACACCAAGCGCCAATACGCCGATAACCTGACATACCGCCAGGCGACCCGATCTCTCGACGCAGTCACCGAAGAGATCGAGCAGCTGGCGGCGCAAAACGCCGAAGTCGACCGAAGCCGCTTCAAAGAAGAATCCGAGCGCAGAGCACGAGAACACAACGCGCTCGCCGCCAAACAAGCCAGCAAAATGGGCGAGATGAAAGGAAAGGACGACCAACTGATGCAGCTCCTCGCAGACTGGAATACCGACTACAAAGACGCAGCAAGCAAGTACAAGGAAGCGCACATCAAGGTGGAAACAACCAAAGCCGCAGTGGACGACCTAGCGCGGTATGGCGGCGCCCTCGACAAAGCCATCATGAAATATCACGGGCTCAAAATGGAAGAGATCAACGCCATCATCAGCGAGCTCTGGCAGAAGACCTACCGAGGCACTGACGTCGACACGATTCTCATCCGCTCCGACAACGAAAACGCCAAGGGCAACCGCTCCTACAACTACCGCGTCTGCATGGTCAAGCAAGGTGCAGAAATGGACATGCGCGGCCGCTGCAGTGCAGGTCAAAAGGTGCTAGCAAGTATCATTATCCGACTCGCTCTTGCGGAGTGCTTCGGCGTCAACTGTGGTCTAATTGCTCTTGATGAACCCACAACGAATCTTGACCGTGATAATATTCGCTCTCTTGCGGAATCGCTTCATGATATCATTAGGACTAGACAGCAACAGGCCAACTTCCAGCTTATTGTCATTACCCATGACGAGGAGTTCTTGCGGCATATGCAGTGCGGTGACTTCAGTGATTACTATTATCGGGTCTCGAGGAATGAGAAGCAGAAGTCGATTATTGAGAGGCAGTCTATTGCTGAGGTATGTTTGCTCCCTTTTTCGTTATCCCTAGGTGTGAAGTATACCTAGGTTAGGGAGTGATATTTCAGGACTGACGTAGTTTTCAGGTTATGTGATTTGACCACTCTTCGATTTTCCAATCATGGCTTGGACTACAAGCCTTGCCCTTTGAAAGAGGGTGGTTTGATCAGCGAACTTATAGTTACGTTCTATGTAAATTACCTGGTATTTGGTATGGTTAATGAGCATGAGGCGGCGTTGGGGAATCAAAAAAGAACACTATATTGCTTTTTGACATTTCAGATCAAGTCCACTATATAGACACAGTCCATATATTCTCTAGTACCACTCACTCCAGATCATCACCCTCCTCATCATCCAACAAAGGCACAAACCGGAAATCCACAAACGTCACAACAGGCGGCGGACCACCCTTGAGCGGCCGTACACCACCAGCCCCATTAGCATCAAACTCAATCATAAACTGAAGACTCAATACACCCTGGCGATCACCACGAATGCTCACTTTATTAGCCACTGCCATAGCACGCGCCGCCTTCTGAATCAGCGCGAACTTATAATTCTGCTTGAGACGCGACCCCATCGACGACGGCGGACTGACAAGGAACGTCTCCGTGACCGTCGGCGCAAGTTTAGCTTTCTTCGCACGGGACCCTTCATCAATTGAGCCTCGTGCATCACCTCCCGTACCATTAGCCCCGCCATTCTCGACGGAGAATTCTACAGATGACTCGCTGAACGAGCCTCCCGTGCCGGAGAGAGCGAAGAATGGTTCGCGGGTCGCGGACGCGGAGATCTTCAACACCGAGGGACTCGTGGCGGCTAGTTCTGAAATGGCGTTATGGAGCCAGGCAGAGCGCATGATGATCTTCATGATGATGGCATCTCGTTGGAGAGGGATGTCGACTTCGCTGCCTTCGGTTTCGTAGGTTGTTAATTCGCAGGTGGTTTTGACGCCCGTTTCGGAGAGAGTGATGCTGAGGGGTGAGCCTTCGCTGGTGTAGCGGATTGTGCAGGAGCGGTCTAGGAGTAAGGATGGGGCGGAGAAGGCGCCAGGTCCGGATGGGTGGGTTGGTTGGACGCTGGATGCTCGACCGGCGGTGGGGTTGGTGGAGTCGTTGGTGCCGAAGATCTTGAGGGTTTCTAGGAGGGCGGATAACGAGACGACGAAGCATGGGTAGTAGGTGGAGGGGTCGGAAGTTGTATCGTCGTCGTTGTCGTTGTTGTCTGTTGTCCCTTGGTTTGGCGCGGCTGGTGGGTTGAAGGTGTAGCTGGTGAAGAGGGCTTTGTCGAGGAAGGCGAGTCCTTGGATAACTCGCATCTCTTCGGCGGAGAAGCGGATTCCATCTGGGGTTATTTGCACCGTGGCCCTGGATGTGAAGCCGATGCATTGGAGGAGAGTGTAGAGGTGGTGGGCATTGCTGGAGACAGCAGTGAAGATGGGTTCCGAGTCCGTCATGATGGTTTGGAGTGAAATTGGCTTAAGCACGACAGAGTAGAGACTCGAGAGCTATGTTAAGATAGATTGCTGGAGTGCGAAGAGAACTTTGGTGATTATAAAGGTAACGATATGCTTCGTTTCAAACTCTCCAGTGTATGGTACATGGGTATCTGGGAAACAACTGGAATTTTTTTTTAAACGTAGACCCCAACGGCACAGATCATGAATACGGCTCCGAAGCTGGACGGGGAATTTGTTAGCGATGGTTAATAAGGTGGCTGTTGTTAGGGTAGATCTGTGGCTTACCCAAACGCCAAAGATGCCGGGACTCCGAAGGAAGCGATGCTGAGGAAGGAACGATCTGCGCAAGTTGTAAGTATATGGTTGTGACAAGAGTACAAGACTATTCATATGTGGAAATGAACTCTGGCGTGGTGTACTGACTCAATCCGAAAAGTCCAGTGAGGATGAAGGCTGTTGTAAGTTAGAATTGTTTGTGAGTGTGAGAGGTCGGGCCGACTTACCAGCAAGTAGTAGACTGAAGCCGACAAAGAACTGGCTGTCTTTAGAGACTGGGGGAGTATACGGGCTCGCAGAAGCTGCCTGCCAGACTTCGTTCAGAGACATGAGGGCTTATGAGATGCGCTTAATTTCAATGGTTTGTGTATAAAGGAGAGAAGACAGTTAGACAGAAGAAATGAGGAGAAGAAGGAGGAGAGGGAGCTTCCCTCAAGCTGTCGTCGTAATGCCATGGAGCCCAAACTAGTAATTGGTTATCTGGCTTGACGGCCGCGGATCAACTTCTTCCCGTTCCGCTCCCCGTATCGCGGCCGCAGCTCGTGTGGAGAGAGTCGCTGAGGTTCAAGACGCTTTCGTCCAGAAGTCATCGGAATTCGTCGCGCATCATGCCTGCAATCACAGATAGTAAGTGTCTCATGCTGGATTACGCGTCTTTGCGACTGTTCTGGTCCATTTGCTCATGTCAGGTCCAGGTGCCAAGCGGAAAGCATCGGAGGAGGCGCTCTCCCCAGATTCCCACAAGAAGGCGCGCACTGACTCCCCCGAGAGGGAACCCAAGGTATGTTACATATCCTCGTTTTTGTCCGGAGTATGAGACTAATGTAATGTGCCTACCTTAGACCGAAGATGACCTCCTAGATAAGCCACCGAGAATCGTTCCCTTCCCGGAGAAGGTAAGCCCTCAGACAGCCCGCAACCCGCCCGAGCTCCGATGACGCTGACTCCACGGTAGCCTGCAGTTCTGGAGGAACGTCGCGGCGACATCGAGTTTCGTGTAGTCAACAACGATGGATCTCGCGACAGCTTTGTTGTCCTTACAGGTCTCAAATGCATCTTTCAGAAACAGCTCCCGAAGATGCCTAAAGACTACATCGCGCGATTGGTCTATGACAGGTCGCATCTTTCCTTGGCCATCGTCAAACACCCTTTGGAAGTCGTGGGAGGCATCACATACCGACCATTCAACAGTCGCAGGTTCGCCGAAATCGTTTTCTGTGCCATTTCGTCCGACCAGCAGGTTAAAGGATACGGTGCGCACTTGATGTCTCATCTCAAGGATTATGTCAAAGCCACATCGGACATCATGCACTTCCTCACATACGCCGACAATTACGCCATTGGGTACTTCAAGAAACAAGGATTCACCAAAGAAATAACACTCGACAAATCCGTCTGGATGGGATACATCAAGGATTATGAGGGTGGTACAATCATGCAGTGCACAATGCTCCCCAAGATACGGTACCTCGAGGTTGGCCGCATGCTACTGAAGCAGAAGGAAGCTGTACACGCGAAGATACGGGCCTTCAGTCGCTCACATATCATTCATGCACCCCCTAAGGAATGGAAGAATGGACCGTGCAAGATTGACCCATTGAGTATACCGGCTATCAAAGAGTCGGGATGGTCACCGGACATGGATGAGCTAGCACGTCAACCACGCCACGGACCTAACTACAACCAGCTACTACATCTCCTTAACGATATGCAGAACCACAGCGCGGCATGGCCCTTCACTCAGCCAGTCAATCGCGATGAGGTCCCTGACTATTACGAAGTCATTAAGGAGCCCATGGACCTGTCAACCATGGAGGAAAAACATGAGAAAGACATGTATCCGACGCCACAAGACTTCATTAAAGATGCTATGTTAATATTTGATAACTGCCGGAGGTACAACAACGAGAACACGCCCTATGCGAAGAGTGCCAATAAACTAGAGAAGTTCATGTGGCAACAGATACGAAATATCCCGGAGTGGTCGGTGAGTATTGAAACCTGATTCTGATGCCCATACTTATCTTGTTCGCGATCGCTAACATGGCACAGCACTTGGCCGACGGTCACTGATAATGGTGTACTCTATGTGTTATTGGAGTTCTTGAAAGGCGTTCGAACAAATACCCGGTGTGGAGAACATGGCGCATTTTAGCTTTTAGCCTATATCTTCTGTTGATTTCATGTTCGATATTTCTCGACAATACTAGACACATCGATCGGTAACAGCCATGCTCAGAAACCTTTGCTTGCTCCATTACGCGCTATCACCACCCAAGGCTCCATTGTTCGTCCGCGACGAACGTCCCACTCAGTTTCTCCGGGTCGCCTTCTGTGGCAGCGCGCACAATGACCCTGGCCCCGTCGCTTGCTTCCTTGACTCCTTGACCTCCGTTGATACTGGTGCGGCAGTAGCCCGGGGCAGCCGCAATGACAGCAATCTTCTCATCAGCCAGCTTTACCGCATGAGCGACGGTGATCATATTGACCGCTGCTTTGCTACTGCGGTAGTCAGGTATGAAATAGGTCTTTGCGCTAGCCGGATGATCCTTGTGGCCGGCTCTGCTGATCAGACCCTGCCCGGACGTGACATTGACAATGCGGCGATCGGAATACGTCGATGCACGCAGCAATGGGAGGAATGTATCCATGACAACCACGATGCCAAATACATTGACATCGAATACTTGCCGGTATTGCTCGCGCAGGGTAGTGGCGGGTGTCTGCGCAATGCCCGCATTATTGATCAGGATGTCCAGACGTCCGAATGTTTCCGAGACGGTCTGCGCAGCTGCAGCGATGGACGCATCATCTGTCACATCGATGGTAATGGGTGTGAGAGCTGATTTGTCCACTGCATCCGATTCCAGCTCCTTAACTGCAGCTTCGGCCTTGAGTGTCGTGCGTGCGCCGACTAGCACATGGAACTTGCCTGAGCTAGCTAGCTGCTGTGCCACGGCGAAGCCGATGCCTTGATTGGCACCGGTGATGAGAACGAGGATTTTGGAGGTTGTCATTTTGCGTGGAATAATTGAGGTGATAATTGCGAGAGCTGATTATGTCTGGATCCATTGGGATCTGGGATCCTTGATATAGTTATTACTGTCCGTAGAAGTCCGAACCCCGAATCCGTTAACTCCGTTACGTCCTTCTAAGATCTCTTTAATAAGCACGGCTTGCCCGACTGTCCTCCTAATCGCCGTAGCATGTTTAGTATAGTAGTAGTATACTGGGTAGAAGAAGTGGCGAATTCAACTTGTGAATAACTAATTGGACACATTTCGTCTCACTTGGATTAATCGTTACTGGATGTATACTGTTAAATCTGTCCATAAGATTCTTGAAGGACTCGTTCGACGCAAAATGTCCAGTACAAACACAAAGCTACAATTCTCTATGAACCCCGTCAGTCGAGGAAGGTGCAGAGATAAGACCAGTCGACTGGACCCTCCGAGAGTATTGTTGGAAAAAATCCAGCTGACCATGAAGGAGTTACCATTTCAAACCATGGAGGTCTGACATGTTAGAGAGTTTGGACTGAAACCTTAGCCTTGGCGTTAGCTTAGAAGTGTCTTAAGAAGCTCATTTGGGCATATTTCCTGAATAGTAAGCAGGACATGAACATAGCGGTGAAGAGTAAATGTCTTCAATATCTCCAAGTTATTTCTCCATTCCCTACTTATGCAATATGCCTGCTGCTCTATGCTATCTAATTCGGTGTAGGCAGTACACAAGAAAAGGCACCAAAAACAATGATATCATTGAGTAACCTTAAAGATTAAAAACGGGGGGGTCACTGGGCTTATCATCGGCACGATTTTCATCATTTGCCGTCCCGGTTTTTTTTTTAAATCTAATTAATTATATGCCCAGTGCACACATAAAGCAAAACACTCGTTTTTGGGGTGGCTTGCAGGAAGAATAACGGTCCAGTCTATGACCCGCCCCCGGGCAAAATGGACATTGTTCGAGATTTTGATTATTATTATTACCTTTATTAAAAATAAAGCACAGATTGCAGATTGGAAGGTACTTAGAAGAAAAGAAAAATTCTGTTTAGTCTTGTTTGCCAGCCACGGCCCTGCAATAATCACATATTATTATGGACCGACCGAGAACCAACGGTGCGGATCCGCCGTGGGTTGCTTTTTTTGGGTGGGATGGATGTGGAATGGAGCCTGTTGGTTGGACAGTAGATGAGACCAACAGAAGGGTTGCAGAGGATGTACTAGTAGTGCCGTAATTGAGGTGACTGGGGAGGGGGGCGGAGTTCTTTTTCCTGCATTACAGAAGAAAATATATTCTATTTTCCATATACGAGAATCAACAAACAAAAGAAAAGGAGAAATCATCCGCTATGTAGACAGTAAGCAATCATCACCATCATCGGCTACCCCTTGGCGAGTGTCAAAAGATCCAAAAGATCGGCCGCAAGTGGAACCAGGTCATTTCGGGGAAACGTTAATGCGAGGAACCATTGCTGGAAAGGGAGTGGGGACTCAGGCACCTCCCTCAGGCATCACGAATCAACGAACTCCAAACCAGTAGTCAGTCCTCTTTTCGCCCGTCGCTGCGTGTCTGCGGGCTGGCCATCCACACCCTTTCCCTCGCTTTTACCCTTGGCTTCGTCAATCTCTTTTCCCCTCCTCCTCCTCTCGCTCTCGCTCTTGTTGCTGCCTGTGAATCCACTTCCCGAGCCTCTCCTGGATGGCTTCTGTCGC